GGCGGCGGGGATGCGCCCCTGCGCCCAAGTAGTCTCGCCTTTTCTCCTTCCGCACAGTCTGCGTTTCCGCTCCCCTCGCGGGCGCGGGGCGAGAGGGAGGGAGGCCGAGCCTCGGCCCCGCTGCCGCCGCCATGTGGCCCCCAGACCCCGACCCCGACCCCGACCCGGACCCGGAGCCCGCCGCCAGCTCCCGGCCCGGCCCCGCCGTCCCCGGACTCCGCGCCCTGCTGCCGGCGCGCGCCTTCCTCTGCTCGCTCAAAGGCCGCCTCCTGCTGGCGGAGTCGGTGAGTGCGCGGGGCCCGGGCTGCGTCGGCCGCGGCCGGCCGGCCGGCCCTCCTCGCGGCGCCGCTCAATTCGGAGGTGGACGTCGAGAGGGGTCAGGGGCGGATGCCGCGCTCTGAACCCCCCTCCCGGAGCCTCCTCGGCAGACTCCTCTTGAGAGCCCCACGGCGCTGGGCCGGCGTCGCCGAGCTGCGGAGCGCGAGGCAGAGGCGGGCGGGGCCGAACCCAGGCCTCCCCGGGTTCTCTAACTTGCGAGACCAAAGTTGGGGGCTGTAGAAAGCGGGGAAGGGCGGCACCAACTGGGCGCTGTGTGACCTCGGGCGCCGCTGCCCTCTCTGGGCCCGCGGGACAGCTGCGCCTGGACAGCTTCTGGCCTCCATCGTGGGCTGTTGGCCCCGCACCGTCAGCCCTGTCGCCGCCCCGGGCTGGGCCGGGGTAGGAATCAGCTCGCTCGGCCCTTCGGGACCCCCGGGTCGCAGGGGAGGGTCCACTTTGCTGGGCGCGGGCAGGGCCTGGCCGGGCCTCGAGCTGCCGGGTGGAGGCTGCAGCGCTTCTGGGGCGGGAGGCCGGGGCCGCGTCGGCCATCTGGGCGGGGGACCGTGGAGAGTGGAGGGAGCCCCCGGGAATGGGTGAGGCCGGGCCGCACGGTTGGGGGCGCGGGCAGCCCCCGCGGGGTGACTTCACCGCCCTCCTCCCCTCCCTCGCCGGGATCCCGCCCCCGCTGGGCTCCTTCCTCCTTCCTGCTCGCCCCCACCCGGCTGGTCTGGCCGCCTTTGTCCTCCTGATCCTCTGCAAACTCTCGCACTGTGGTTCGCACCGTCCGCATGTGGGGTGGGGACTGGCCTGGGCCTCCAGGGGTGCGGAAGGAGAGGCCGGGCAGAGGGGAGGCGGGATGAGGCAGAACAAGGGAGCAGCACAGCCCGGCGGCCACTTGTTGCTTAGATCCGGGCAGCTTGGTGGTGCCCGTCCTTATTCCCACTTTCCAGATGAGAGAGCGGAGGCGCCTGGCGTTTAGGGGATTTGACAGGTGGCTCAGGTGAGGGACGGAGTGAGAACGAGGAGGCGGGTGGGGGAAGGAGGATTCTGTCCCGGAGTCCCTCACTTGTCGCTCAGGTCAGATGGTAACCAAACAGTCGTTCTGCGATCAGCCCAGAGGTCACCAGCCCAGCACGTGCGCAACTCCCAAGTGAGACTCCAGGGCTGGTCTCAGAGCCCACACTCCCAGGGAGGCGCCTCCTGGCTGCCCCACCCCCAGCCTGACCCTGAGACCTCAGGGAGGCACTTTGGGGGAGAAGCCTGAATCCACCTATCCCCAGCCCCTCCCCACCCAGGACCACCTCATGGGTGGGGGCGGCATGCCAGCCAGAGTGTAGCCCCTGGCCCAGCTGGATGTCAGGAATCCAGGACTAGACAGAGAAGGAAGGCTTTGGGGTGAGCACTCAGGGTGCATGGGAGCCGCTCCTGGTCACTCCTGCCTCACTGGTCACCTCCATCCCACCCCCAGGCCTAAGCAAGTGCAGAGGCTCACGTGGGCAGGAACAGGGAAGAAGTGGCCACCAGGAATCAGGGAATGAGCAAACAGGAATTGAGAGGGGGATCCCCAGAACCAGGCTGGGGGGATGAGAGGCAGGAAGGGGAGGGCGGCAGAACAGCCTTTGGCACAGGAAGTTCAGCAGGAGCTGTGGACAGGGCCTGGTCCAGTTGTGGCCTTACTCTCTCGGGAGGCCCTCTCTGTGCCTTAATTTCCTATCTGTCTGATGTGGGCTCAGCCACCCCCATGGCCATGTCTGCCCTGGGGACTCCCTTGGGATCCCTGCAGCTCATTTGCCTGAAACAGCCACAGTGCTTCCTGTGGGGTATCTGGGTGTCCCCATGGGGCCCCCCTCCACCCACTCCAAGCTACTCAGCTGTGGATGTGCTCAAACCCAGCCACAGTGACAGAAACCAGGAGAGATGGCCTCCCCCAGCACCCACAAGGCCCCGTTGCTTAAGAACTCTAACTTGGGGTCAGCCAGCCCTGGGTTCACATTCTAGTGACCTCTTACCAGGCTGGTGACAATGCAGGATTGTCATCACTGCAACTCCTGGCCTTGAGCAGTCCTCCTTTCTCAGCCTCCCAAGTAGCTGGGACTACAGGCACTCATGCCACCATGCCCGGTTAATTTTTGTATTTTTAGTGGAGACGATCTCGCTCTTGCTCAGGCTGGTCTCAAACTCCTGGCCTCAAGCCATCCTCCCGCCTGGGCTTTCAAAGTGGTGGGATTACAGGTGTGAGCCACCGCACGCAGCCTCATTTTATTGCAGACATCAGTACTTTTCAACTCTAAACAGCTTAAGCATGCATATCATTAACTAAAGTTCAAGATTTGTTTTTTGTTTTTAAGGGAAAACTTACATTCAGTGAAAAACACACATCTTGGGTGTTGGGTGTTGTTTTTTTTTTTTTTTTTTTTTTTTTT